GTGTGTCCGGCGCCAGGCATTCGTTGTTCGGGGCTCGTTTTATCGCTTCTGGTCAAGCCGCGATAAATCGATCCCAGAACATCGATTGCCTGCCGCCGGACCCTCCGGTAAGTGAAGACGTACCCTTAGTGTGGTTGTTTCAATCCCTCTGCAGACTCAGGAAAACACTCTTATCAATGCAATCTTTGCAACCAGAAAAACTACAAGTTACACTGAAAAAATCATATTCCATATCTGGAAAGATACTGAAACAAGTTGTTACACAACCAATTTGGAAGCACCTGGAGCATAACAGGGAAATAAGGAATAGCCAGCATGGATTTCTCAAGAACAAATCATGCCAAATAAACTTAATTTCCTTCTTTGAAAGGGTTACTAGCCTGATGGATAGGGGAGGAAAGAAGTAGATGTAATGTATTGATTTTGACAGTTGCACATGACATTTTCATAATGAAACTAGGGAAATATGGGAAGCTACAAGGTGGATGCACAACTGGTTGAAAGACTACTTAAAGAGTATTTATCAATGGTTCGATGTCAAACTGGAAAAGTTGATAAAATATAGGTAGAAACTGTAGTGAAACAATCAAATGAAAGAGTCCCATTCACATGAAGGCACGCAACTAAATTGACAAAGTGCTTGTATATAAATGCAAGAAGTCTAAATACTATGATGGGTGAACATGAGCACCTGGTATTAAATGAGGATATTGATTAATAGACATCACATGAACTTGTTGGAATGACAGTAATCAGTGGCACACGGTATAGAATATACAGGAATGACAATACGTTATGCTGGTTGGGAGTGGCACTATATGTGAAAACATAAAGTCTAATATAGCAAAAATCTAAAATGAAGTAGACTGTTCCATAGAATCTCTATGGATAGAAATTCCATGCTTGAACAATAAGATTATAACAGTAGAAATATACTACTGACCATCTGACCAGGGTGGTGACGGTGATTGTGAAAAGCTCAGGGAGATTAGAGAGGCTACAAAAACAGAACACACTGTAATAATGAAGGATTTCAACTATCCCCATATTAATTGGGTATACATCACCTCAGGATGGAGTGCAGAGATGAAATTTATAGACATCATTAATGACTGCTTCTTGGAGCAGCTAGTCCTGGAACCCACAAGGGGAAAGGCAATTCTTGATTTAGTCCTAAATGGCACACAGGGTCTGGTCCAAAGGTGAATATAGCTGAACCAACAGTAATAGCAACTGACAATGTAGTTAAATTTAAACATTCTTGGGGGGAAGGGGAGGGGGAGCATTTAATTTCAAAAAGGGGAGCTACACAAAAATGAGGAAACTATTAAATGGAAATTAAAAGGAACAATCACAAGAGTGAAATGCCTGCAAGCTGCATGGAAACTTTTTAAGAACACCATCATAGAGGCTCAAACTATACATATATCCCACATAAAAAACAAAACCAAAAAACAGCAAGAGGACCAAAAACTGCCACCATGGCTAACCAACAATAAAATATGTGGTTAGAGACAAAGAGACATCTTAAAAACTGGAAGTCAAATCCAACTGAGAAAAACAGAAAAGAGCATGAACTCTGGCAAGGTTAGTTTAAAAGTATAATTAGGCAGGCCAAAAGAGAATTTGAAGAGCAACTAACAAAAGACAAAAACTATATTTTTTAATAACATCAAGAGCAAGAAGCCTAACAAACAATCAGGGAGGCCACTGGACGATCAAGGTGCTAAAGTAGCACGCAAGGAAGACAAGGCCATTGTGGAGAAGCTAAATAAATTCTCTGCATCAGTCTTTACTACAAAGGATGTGAGGGAGATTCCCACACCTGAAATGTTCTTTTTAGGTGACAAATCTGAGGAACTGTACCAGATTGAGGTGTCAGTAGAGGAGGTTTTGAAACAAATTGATAAATTTAACAGTAATAAGCCACCAGGACCAGATGGTATTCACTCAAGAGTTCTGAAGGAATTCAAATATGAAACTACAGAACTACTAACTGTGGTATGTAAGCTATCCTTTAAATCAGCTACTGTACCAGATGACCAGAGAATAGTTAATGTAACACCAAGTTTTAAAAAAGACTCCAGAAGTGATCCTGGCCATTACAGGCCGGGAAGCCTAACTTCAGTATCAGACAAACTGGTTGAAACTATAGGAAAGAACAGAATTATCAGACACAGATAAACATGATTTCTTGGGGAAGAGTCAACATTGCTTTTGCCTCACCAATCTATTAGACTTCTCTGAAGGGTTCAACAAGCATGTGGACAAGGGTGATCCAACGGATATAGTGTACTTGGACTTTCAGAAAGCCTTGGACAAGGTCCCTCACCAAAGGCAGCAGTCATGGGGTAAGAGGGAAGGTCCTCTCATGGATCAGTAACTGGTTAAAAGGGTAGGAAACAAAGGGTAGGTATAAAGGGTCAGTTTTCACAATGGAGACCAGTAAATAGCAGGGTCCCCCCAGAGATCTGTACTGGGACCACTGCTGTGCAATATATTAATAAATTAACTGGAAAAAGGAGTTAAAAAGTGAGGTGGCAAAATTTGCAGATGAAACAAAACTACTCAAGATAGTTCAGTCCAAAGCTGACTGCAAAGAGTTACAAAGGGATCTCGCAAAACTGGGTTGACTGGACAACAAAATGGCAGATGAAATTCAATGCTGATAAATGCAAAGTAATGTACAGTAGAAAACATAATCCCAACTATGCATACAAAATGATGGGGTCTAAATTAGCTGTTACCGTTCAAGGAAGAGCGGTAATTCTCTCCTGCCAAAAAAATGAACAATATTAAGAACCATTAGGAAAGGGATAGATAAGACAACAGAAAATATCATAATGCCACTATATAAATCCACGGTCCGCCCACATCTTGAGTACTGCATGCAACTCTGGTCACCGCATCTTAGAAGAGATTATTTTGGAAAAGGTGCAAAGAAGGGCAACAAAAACTATTAAGGGTCTGAAACAGCTTCCACATGAGGAGAGATTAAGACTGGGACTGTTTAGCTTAGAAAAGAGATGACTAAGAGAGTATATGATAGTAACATGTAACACAAGAACCATAAGGAAGTACTATTTCACACAATACACAGTTAACCTGTGGAACTAAATTGCCAGGGGATGTTGTGAAAAGGTTAAAAAAAGAATTAAATACGTTCGCGGAGGATAGGCCCATCAGTGGCTGTTAGCCAAGATGGTCAGGGACACAACCCTATGCTCTGGAAAAAGAACAGGAGTACTTGTGGCACCTTAGGGTGTCGCTAAACCTCCAACTGCCGGAAGCAGGGCCTGGATGATATGGGATGGGTCATTCGATAAATTGCCCTGTTCTGTTCATGCCCTCTAGATCATCTGGCACCAGTCACTGTCAGAAGCCAGGATACTGGGCTAGATGGACCATTGCTCTGACCTTGTATGGCCATTCTCATAGTCTTATAGAACTAGGTATTATAAATTTGCAGACTTTCAGACCCTGTGACTTTCTATTTTCTCAGGTTACAAAAATACAGAAGACATTTTACAATACAAACAGATCAATATATCTTTTAGAGACTGGAAACTGGTTACTCAACCTTTGAGCCACATCTGGAAGTTATTCTTATTTCAGGGAAGGCACCTGAATGGTAACTAGGAGGTGGAGACTTAAAATAATTTCTATAAAAGAGTAACCCATTCTGTGAATTTTGTTAAGTGAAAAACCCTGTTAACAGCTTAGACAAGTATGCAATTAACTCTCCCTTAGCAGAAACTTCCTACTGTTTATGCTCAAGTTGTTGAACAGTTGAACCGTTATACTAAGGTATTTCTTGTGGACCATAAAATTCCACAGTAGTTACTGATGTATCTTCCATAACTGAAGGGCTCTCCATGTCAGCATTTCTCATCTCTATTCAGTCATAAGCAGACAACAATGTATTATATTATTAGGTTCGTGGAGACAGCTTACCTCACCATTGTCTATTACAGCCATAGAGGAGGTCTGACCACAAGCAATACTGACCACCATTTTAGTCTGTAAACAATTTGAGACTTTGCGAGGAGTTGGCTGATTTGCTGTAGATCCAGATCCAACCTGACCGCAGTTGTTATAGCCCCATGCATATACCTGCCCATGAAAAGAGAAATACATATCTGAATAGTTTAGAGCTAAAATGTTTAGTTTTGCTACTAGGTTCTTCTGAAGAAATAGGACTTGCCCAACCCTAGCTAAATCCAAATCACGGACTTTTTCTTTTAATTTAAATATTATGAGCTAGATCTGATACTGTATAAACATGGCAGTTTTTTCAATTACTTATTCCAAAACAGGAGCATCCAAATTTTGTCAAAAATAAGGGACATTTTTCCAGTATAAAAGATAAAGGTGGCAGTAGGACATATACAACTTTGTGGGCTGAATTTGAACACCCCTCTTCCAATATATTTCAAGACAGTTAAGCATAACGGGGAATGCAGTGAAGGATGTCATTTATTTTCCAGCTTTACAGAATTACCCCCTTCTCACTTTTCTTAGCAGTCTGTTGTTTCAGGTGGATAAGGGTCTAAAAAGTGTCCTTGGGGTTCCTTATTTCCCACAACCTGCCATTGGAGCTTGTGAATGGGGAAGTTTTGGTTCACCATACAAGTTCAGCAGCTATGATACTTGATAAAAATTGCATGAAGGGAAGTACTGGTTTTGGTAGTTGTTTTATAAAAAAAATTGTTGCTATTGAAAATGTCTCAAATTAAGAAAGCAAGATGTTGTCTGGGTTCATAAAATCCTAAAAGATCTTGAAATATATACGGCCTCAGGAGACTTTTTCCCCTCCTCTAAAGTTTCTAATATATGTATGTTATTTCATATTTGGTTATCTAGTCCATCCCCAGAGGCAAATGTAGGAATATTTCCTACAGTTTACTATCCAGTGTTTTGTCCTGCTTTAAATTTACCCTTATGGAAAAGATGTTACCAGACATGCTGCTGACTGCAACTGCAAGACCGAGGTTGCCTTTGCATAAATTCAACATATCCTTTTTGGTGCTAATTGAGCGCTTTACTTTAATATCTATTGCTAGAAAATAAATGGAGAAAAAACTTTATGCAAAAGCACCAGCCACACACATTATAACATTACCACCATGAAAAAAAATAAAAAGCATGAGGTTCTTTGTCCATAACTATATTACAGCCTTTGCTTTTATTAACTATTCTAATTCATCTAAAACTAAACACCTACTGAATATATGGAGGGTGGTGGTGGGGGTGTATTTCAAGGTACAGTAGAACCTCAGAGTTACAAACACCTCAGGAATGGAGGTTGTTCGTAACTCTGAAACATTTGTAACTCTGAAGAAAACGTTATGGTTCTTTCTAAAATTTACAACTGAATTTTGACTCAATACAGCTTTGAAACTTTACTATGCAGAAGAAAAATGCTGCCTTTAACCATCTTAATTTAATTGGATAGAAAATTGGCTAGATTGTTGGGCTTAACATTTAGTGACCAACAGCTCGATGTCTAGTTGGCAGCCGGTATCGAGCGGAGTGTCCAAACATCTTTATTAATGATCTGGATGATGGGATAGATTGCACCCCCAGCAAGTTGGCTGACAACACTAAGCTGGGGGGGAGAGGTAGGTACACTGGAGGGTAGGGAAAGGGTCCAGAGTGACCTAGGAGGATTGGGCCAAAAGAAATCTGATGAGGTTCGACAAGAACAAATGCAGAGTCCTGCACTTAGGATTGAAAAATCTCATGCACTGCTACAGGCTGGGGACCGACCAGCTAAGCAGCAGTTCTGCAGAAAAGGACCTGGGGATTACAGTGGACGAGAAGCTGGATATGAATCAGCAGTGTACCCTTGTTGCCAAGAAGGCTAACGGCATATTGGGCTGCTTTAGTAGGAGCACTGCCAGCAGATTGAGGGAAGTGATTATTCCCCTCTATTTGGCACTGGTGAGGCCACATCTGGAGTATTGCATCCAGTTTTGGGCCCCCCACTACAGAAAGGATGTGGACAAATTGAAGAAGAGAGTCCAGTGGAGGGCAACTAAAATGATCAGGGGGCTGGGGCACATGACTTACGAGGAGAGGCTGAGGGAACTGGGCTTGTTTAGTCTGCAGAAGAGAAGAGTGAGGGGGGATTTGATAGCAGCCTTCAACTACCTAAAGGGAGGGTTCCAAAGAGGATGGAGCTCG